GTCTGTACATACTCTATGAGAGGAGAATCTACAGACTGCCTGTTCAGAAGCCTTATGCTAACTCTTACACCATATGGGTCTCAAATCTTCTCATTTCTTCCAACTGTAACTAAAAAGCACATCTGAAGAATCATTTCCTAAATTCCAGGAAAACTACTGTGATTTTAGCCTTTGAAACACAAAATTTATTATAGCTGCATTCTGGAGAAGTCTATAGCCAATTGCTAGGCATAATAGATGCCTAGCAAAGGCACATTCATATGCAGTCCTTTCAGTCTGTTTTTTAAGTCTAGAATACTGCTAGTTGATAAACTACAAAGCCAGAGGCAAAGTACTCAGTCACATCAGGAATAGGATTATTGCCTCATAAAACAGCACAATAGCACTTTTGCTGTTGTACCACAAGCATTTAATATTAGATTGAAGTTTAACTGTTTCTCAATTTAATTTGCTTTTAATGGAATTCTGTAGATGGAGGGCCCCTTTCAAACATTCGGTGTCTCAGAAGTAAGCAAGCTCTTCCAAAAAAAACACCCAACTTTTATATATATCAGATTTCAAAAGTTGGAGCTGAACATTTGGCTTTAGAATGTGCATTTCCTTGAGCTGACATGCTACGTGTTATACCTTGTATATTCTTACCAATTACAGGACACAATCTGCAGTATCGTAAGGACTAAATATTTTCACCTTACTCATAGTATATTCACATTACTAGTTATATTCATTCCTAGTGAGCAGGCCAATATTGAAATTAGATTAAATGTTGTGCTAATTCCATTTCTGGAACTAGGCTCATATAAACATGTATACTTTTATAAAGGGGTTAATTCAGAGTTGGGCAAGATCCAGCCCACAGGCCAAATCTGACCTGCCAAATGATTCTGGCTTGTGGCTGCTCTTCCAAAGGAAAATTGTATCCAGCCCATGGCTACCTTGGCTTCTGGTGCTTCTCACCCTTTTCCCTACCCCAGTATGTGCGTGTGCAGGGGTGGGGATATTGGGGTGGGGGGCTTGGGGGAGGAGCTGCCTGTGTGTCAAGTCCCAGGATCCAGCTGAGGAGGGAAAAGGTACATGCAGAAAAGCTCACCCAGGTAGTACAGGTGTAGGTGCAGTTTACCCCTCCCCTCCCCATCCAGCCTGCAGCTGTCCCTACAGTGCTCCGCATAAGTCCAAGCCCCACCCACTCCCACAGACAGCCTGGAGAACTCTCCCACCCACCCCAGTCCTAGCCAGCACACACAGCATCCCAATGTGGCCAAAGCCACCCAGGTATTGCTTGGCTCCCCCCACCTCCACACCTTTCTCCTTCTGCCCCTGCTGCACTGCTCTAGACAGCAGGTAGTGCGGGATAGCCATGGGGACATGTTGGGCAACAGATGCCCAGCCAGGTGAGGGGAAGCTGCAACCAGGTGGCTCCTGCCCCAGCATGTGGGGCTTTAGCTCTGTCTCCCAGCCCCTTTCCACTCACTCAGTACAATGGGCACATGGGTGGCCAAGTGAATAGAAGACGGCCAGGAGCTAGAGCTGGAGCCCCCATGCACTGGGGGAGAAGCCACCTAGCTGCAACTTCCTCCCCACCTGACTGGGCCCATTGTGCCCAGCCATTAATTCTCAATGTTACCTGGAGTGCCACAGTAGAGCCAAAAGAATGAGGAGCCATTTGAGCTGGGGGGAACCAGGCAGTACCCAGGTGACTACAGCCACACTGGGAGCAGCCCCACAGGGAAGCTTTGTGCACTGGCTGTGGGCAGGGCAGGCAGGAGTGCAGCACAGGCTGCTCTGAGTGGGAATGGGCAGGACTCCACACAGAGTGCCATAGGCCAGATCCAATCATTTGATGGGCCAGATCCAATCCATGAGCCATATTTTGCCCACCACTGCTCTAGCCCATTTCCATTTCTTTTTCGCTTGAAGTAGTTCATGTAGCAATGCCCATACTGTTGCCGGATAAGGCAAAAAATTATCCATAAGAGTTAAGTAATCCGAAGAAGGAATGTAACTGTGAAACATTCCCTGGTAGCGGTGCTTGAAGGATTGCCTTTTTTCCCCCCTCTCGTGATTTCTTTAACCCTGTGGCATCAATGACATGCTTGGGATATTCAATAGAGGTTGAAAAGCTTCACATATGTCCCTGTGCACTCACAACCCATGGTCTTTCAGACACTGCAGGACAGCATCAAGCTTCTGAAAACGTTCTTCCTGATCTATTCTTGTAACCAGCATCATCCAAATAGCATTGTAATCCTTCAGACCTTTTAAGATTTCATCCATGCCTTTCTGGATGAGGGCAAGAGCAGATGTAATGCCAAAAGCTAAACAATTATAGCAGTATAATCCCTTTTGAGCATTTATTGTGAGGTATTTGTGAGATGCATGATCCACTTTATTTGGAAATAGGCATTACTCAAATCCAATTTACTAAAACACTATCCTCCACTAAGAGCAACAAACAGATCACCAATGCAAGGCAAAGGATACTGAACAGCACATAAAACCAGATTCAGTGTCGCTTTGAATTGAGCCACATGCATTTTGTGGCACCTCAAAAGCCTTTGAGGTGCCACAAAGCATACAGGCGTGCTCATCTGGACATGCCCTGTAAGTCTTCAGAAGCCTGAGGTTGTCTAAAGGTAACAAACACCAAACACTGGTGTTAGGGTGACAGTATTTGGATCTTGGGGAACATTGAATTTGCAGCTGAATAAAAGGTTATAGCCTGTGGCCTAGCAAAGCTACTCACCACAAGGCAGAATGATATATTAAAAGTAACATTGTGAGACGCTTAGGCAAGCATTTTCCTAACAATATAGCAGTACTGTAAAATATATAGCTCATTGTGTAAGGAGAACAGGATGCAGACCACCAGCTATCATTAGGAGATAAGCAGAAGCAAGACCTTGGAGATGGTAAAGAAATCAGCAAAAAACCACAAGTGACCAAAAGAAGCCAGGGTCATAGTTTTAGGCATGCACTCATAGCAAAAAGACATGTAAATAAGTGAAATACATAGGTAATTCCATGCTAATGAAACAAACAGTAAATAGAGGCAGAGCTTGAGATAGGGGGGAAATATGGGTGGAACAAAGGAGGGACAAAGGTGGAATAAATGTTAATGAGTATGAACCAAGGTGTATAAATGTGGAAAGAACTAATGTTCGTGGCACCTCCACAGTTTGTTGGAGCTGGCTCGAAGCTGTCTCCATTTTAAATAAAGTTGCTGCCGAGCAATGTGTGCAGGTGATGCGTGATGGTATTGATCCATTGTCTCCCTAGTTGTTGGGATCTAACAACTGGTTATATAGAGATGCAGGTATTAGGGAAACAGTTTCCGTGTCTAGCTCTGTTCTTATATGGATGCCTTCAATTAAGGGTGTGACCCAGATACTATGTTTTACATCTGCTTCCGAAAGTACATGCAAACCCAGGTCTTGATCAGTGGCACCAGAACTTCAATCTTTATCCATATTATATATTCTGGACTTATGTCCCCTGCCAAGTGCTTCTGTGATGGATGCATGACTACAAAGCATTACTCTTTGTTAAGCTATGCAACAGACTACAGCCATGTGTCCTTGTTTTCCTGGCACTCCCTGCAACTGACCTGACATGACCAGCAATCCCTTCCAGCATACGTGGTTTGTGTACAATGGCCACAGGAAAAGTTCCCCAGTTTCTGTGCCCCTCAGTCTCATCCATTCATGTGATATACCTTCCCGTCCATACTAAGTGCCTGGGAATTCACCTCAGCAGTTTCCATGGCAACTGCTATTTCCACAGCTTTTCTGAATGCATGAGTTTGTTTGCTGTGCAACCCTACAGCAAACTGATCTCATAGGGAATCAGTCAATACTAGTCCAGACCAACAGTGCTCTGATAACTTGGTTAGAACAGCCACAAATTGTACTACTGACTCTACACTTTCCTGGCTTCATTGGTGGAATCGGTGCCATTCTGCAATCCTTGATGGGGCGGGTGAAAAATGTTCCTTGCTGCAGTGATTTTCAGATAGTTGACCTGTCCTGGTAAAGTTGTAGACAGCATGCCCTGGAACTGATCACCATCAACAATGTTGCAACTTGTCCTTCTGGAATTGAATTGCAGGCTATATACTTTTCAAAACATTCAATATACACTATTCATATCTTTTGGTTTGCAAATTCACCAAAATTGCCCGAGTAGCCTTTTCTTTTTTAATCTGTCTACATTTGAGGTCTCCCTGCTGACTGCGTTTTTGTGCAGGCTTCAGGATCCATTACTCTAAGCTGGAATATCCAGCCTTGAGCTGTTTTCAAGATGGGAGGGGGAAAAAGGGAGCAGATAAAGTTTGGTCTGGGAGTTTGAGCACCTGCTTTAGGGTGGGGGGGTGTACTGGAACCCCCTTGAGGCAGGGGGACTCCAGTTCACCCAATCCCACCCTCCAGAGCTGGCTGAGAAACCCCTAGAATGAGCCATCACCACTCCCTTTCCCCACTCTCATTTTGAAAACTTGCAGATTAGCAGGGGCCATTGTTAAGGGAAACCAGCTACAGGCTGCAGCCATAGCTGGATTCCTGGCCCCCCTGGAACCAACAGTGAACTTCAGTTTCGTCTGGGGGATTGGAACTCAAAATGGTTCCTGCAAATTGTTTTCAGTTGCAGAAGGGAGCTGAACTTCGGTCTGCATCCACAATAACTGCTGTCCTTTCTTGTACCTTCCTCCACTCTACTTCACAGTAATTGCATTGAATACACTTTTGTTTAGTATCAGTTTGCTACTCATTTCTCTGATAACTCTTCTGTTGTGAATACAGCAGGCATAGTAGGCCTGAGTGCTCATATTAAGTCTCTTCAGCACACACATAATAAAGTATCTTCTTACTGTTCTGGCCACTTAGGTGGTGTCTCCAAGCACCAACACAAATGAAGATCCCCTCCTTGTTGCCAAAATTGTTGCATCTTGCAGCTCCCCAGTCATGTGAGGATCAGACTAATAGAGAGCACCACATAGACTACGTGGCTGATAACTTTATTGTTCTGAACAGAAACCAAAACTAAAAGTAAAGCATGGTGCCCTAGGCGGTACATAGCCCAATCAGATTTAAAATCGACAACATTAATATATAATAACAAAAACAGAATATGTCCCACAAACAAAAACAAGATGCATGCATCCTCCCTTCCTGTTAATGCATTCATTATGGGCCAGTATCTAGGGATCATTATGGCAAGATTTCTAAGGGAAAAAAACTCTTTAAGTTTCCTCAACTTTTCTATTCATTTACAGTTCACTTACTATTAAGCTTCAAAAATGGTAAGTCTGAAAAAGTGGCATATTTCATCTGAGCTCAATTCTATCAATTCTTATAATTCTTTGAAGGAAATATCAATAAGGGCCTTTTATCTTTTAACCCTAAATAAAAATACCCCCCATTAACTGGAGGGGAAAAACAGCCGTGCTGCAAGGAATCTTGAGTTCAAGAATTTAATTTGAAAACTTCTGAATGTTTGTTTGAACTTCTGAATGTTTTGATCCATCTGGAAGACTAAATTCATCAATCTCTCTTCAGGCACTTCAGCGATGTGTTGGCTCACTGAGTTTGAAATGAGAAGCCTGTTGAGAATGAAGAACAAGGATGCTAAAGACACAATTTCTTAATCAAGTCCTGTGAGGAATTCATGATATTATGTATGTTATAAGACAGAAGTGTTTCAAGTGATGCTACATAATGCCTTAATCCATAAACCATCCTGTTGATTTCAATAGGGCTATTCATAACATAAGCTATATTAGGAACTTTCCATGAAGATAAAGCATTGTCCTTACTAAATAAGTTTACAATGTTTAGAAGTAAAAAGTTTCTGTCATTATAGGTCTATTGCAGTAAGTTTTGCATAACTGGTTGAACACCAGTCCAACAATTCTAAAATTTCCAATGCATTTCTAGGAGGACAATGAATAACTATCAAAAGAGTTGTGCATTTTAAAATCAGAGGCCAGTACCGTGTTCAGACAGGCAATCAAATAATTTGAATGCAATTTGCTTTGGGCTTCAGTAACTGCCATTTTGAATAACGTTGGACCAGTGCAAAAGCAATCATTATTTTAAATTGGAGTTTGTTAATTCCTTTGGCTCTCCCTCCCCCATATTTGTTATAAAAGTGCTTGGAAAAGTTGTATGTGAACAGATTAATTTGCTTTGTAGACCTGCATTTGTGAACTTTGAACCAGTTTACAAGCAAGTTTGCCATTCATTGAACAGCCTAGAAAATGACTGATAGGAAATCAGAGCATCAAATTTTATTTTACAAGCTGCAGTCTTTTTTTTGGCCTGCTTTTCTGTTACGTTCATTATTGAAATAGTGAAGGTAACAAACAAATCATAGTCTCTATGCTTGTTTTGTTTGCTGAATTGGAAGCAATTGGATTATATGTTTGCCTTTCTTTCCAGCAAGAAAATTGATCAAAAATGTGGCCTACTTAAATTCTACAGTGAAATTGCTGTATCTTGTATAATTCTATAATTTTGAGAGTTGCAAAATTGTTTCAAATTACTCTGGTTATTATGAATGTTTCCAACTTTTTAACTTTCATCTGTTAGCAAGCCAAGATGATCTTAAAAGGTTGAAGACCTATACAGAATCTCTTAAGTGATCATCTTTTGCATGTAAAAGTTCTGCAAGCTGGGGTGAGGGGGTGGGCAATCAGTCAGTCAGTCATTCCCCTCAATACCAGATGCAGAATGCAAGTTCTCTTACTTTTAGTAAAGACCAAGACAGAACTCTCATACCTTCTTCAATGGAGTCAAGATTTCACTTCTGTGAGAACAACCACAGCCCACCCAGCTCCCCATGTTAGTACAGCAGGTACTTTAATCATCTTCTTTACACACTGCATGTTCACCAGTCCCTCAAAATACACCTTCAACTTTACTTGAAAACCATTTTACACTATGCAGTAGTAGTCTGAATACCTCTCCCTTATGGCTAAAAGACTTTGCCTCATATTTTTCCATATCTGCAACACTACCAGATGACTGTCTCTTAGGTGAAAGGGGTATGCAGGCTTTCTTCATTTGTTCCCTTTTGAGCAAAGAGCTAGGTTGAGAACTGGACATCTAGCCTAGGAACAGACATTACACATAAACCAGTTTAAGTGATCAGAAACTGGTTTAAATCTGTAACAGAACAGATGTTCAGTGCACATAAACCAGTTTGAAAATGGTTGAAACTGTTTTGAGGTCATTATGCAATGTCTGTCCTAGACTCCTGGCTGGTTTAAGTTAAACCAGACTCCCCCAGAACTCTGGCATGCTGTCTGGGCTGGGCAGGGCTCTCTTTTCCACAGCAGAGCTGGCCCCTCAACTGCTCCCTGGCTGGAGCTCGGCAGAGACTGCAGGCATGTGCCTGTCTTCCCTCTGCCCCATCCCCCTTTCCCTCTACCTTACACAGACACTTCTCAACATTAGCTAGCAGACCACTTGCTGGCTACAGTCTGTGCTGTGGCAGACAGGACAAAGGCAGAATCAACAGGTAGCTGATAATATCCCTCTGTTTTCCTAATGGGGTGATAAACACTGTTACAAATTCCCTGCTGGGATGGACAGAAGGGGGGAAACCCCATCCTAATCAGAGCATCCTGCCACACCCCCATCAACTCAACACTGTAGAAGGGTAGGGAGGGCTGCTCTAGCACACACAGACACCCGACTTCTTGCCTGAGCCACTGCAGGCATGTGCCTGCATTTCTGGGATGTCTGTACAGTTACAAACTAATCTAGTCTAGCCAGGTTAGACTAACCTACAAAGATAAAATCAATTCAGGCTCAGGCTTTTTGAATGTCTGTTTCTAGCCCTACATATATCCATTATACACCTACAGCTCCCTGATTTTAACTAGGTCATTTCTAGTTGAGTCCTAAGGAAGCAGTTGGAACAAAAAAATAGCACACAGTAAAATGTAAATGAGAGGCAATGTTTCTTTCAGTTTATCTTCCTCCTAGAATGTCTACTTGAAAGAAAACTGACAGTAGTTAAAGATAGATAGTAGTTCAGTATTTTCCCTTTAAACACAAATCTAAAACTTAACTGACCTTATGTTTCAGAGCTGCAAAAAATGTGGCCATTTTATTTGACAAGGTTTCTTACAAATTACAGTATTTTTGTTTGTGAAAGCACCTTGTATTCTGCTTTGAAATGTTGGATTCTAACATATTCCAGATCTCAAAATTGAAACAAACCACTCAGCTGAAACTTTTCTATTTTGCTTAGTTTCAAATAAGAACTTAGCTGAGTTCCAAGCCATATTCCACTTCCAAAAAGCTCACTGGTTGGGTTAAGGTTCTACAAAGCCTTATCTTGTTAATTTGCTTAAAGAAAGAAGAATTTGGTCTTAGAGAGCACTGAGTATCTCATTATAGGAGGGGTTTACACTACGTTGGCTGGGGGATGGAGACCAAAGTGCTGAGGTAAGTGGGGAAGTGGGTGACCTGAAGGAAAAAGCAAGCAGGAGGTGGGTGGCATCAGGGGATGTGTGCACATACTTCCTGAGAAAAATCAGGGCAATCAGCTAATCACCTCAGGTGTCTGTACAGAAACACAGAGCCTGGGAAACAAACGGGAGGAATTGGAAGTCCTTGCACAGTCAAGGAATTTTGATGCAATTGGAATAATAGAAACTTGTTGGGAGAGCTCCTATGCCTGGAACAACCTCATGGATGGGTGTAAACTGTTCAGGAAAGATAGGCAGGGGAGAAGAGGAGAAGGAATTGTACTTTATGTAAAAGAGTCATATGATTACTCAGAGCTCCAGTATGAAACTGGAGATAGGCCTGTTGAAAGTTTCTGGGTTAGGGTCAGAGAGGAGAGCAACAAGGGTGATGTCATGGTGGGGGTCTACTATAGACCACCAGACCAGGAGGAAGTAGTAGATGAGGCTTTCATCAAACAGCTAAAAGAAGTTCCCTGATCACACGCCCTGGTTCTCATGGAGGACTTCAAAAAAAAAAATCACCCTGACATCTGCTGGGAGAGCAATACAGCAGCATGCAGGCAATACAGGAAGTTTTTGGAGGGTGTTGGGTACAACTTCCTGGTGCAAGAACTGGAGTGGCCAACTAGGGGCTGTGCTCTTTTTGACCCGCTGCTCACAAACAGGGAAGACTTGGTGGGGAATGTACTAGCAGATGGCAACTTGGACAGTAGTGACCATGAGATGATTGGGAATACCATCCAACATGGATGGGATCTTCAGGATCTTGAGGAAAGGAAGGAAGAAGAGCAGCAGCAGAGTAAGAACCTGAACTTCAGAAAAGCAGACTTTGACTCACACAGGATACTTATAGGCAGGCTCCTCTCCCCCTCATACTGGCTTCCCAGAGAAGTCCAGGAGAGCTGGCTGTACTTTATTAAGAGTGCAGGAACAAACTATCCTGATGTGCTGGAATACTAGTAAGCATAGAAGAAGACCATTTTGGCTTAGCAGGAAACTCTAAGGGAAGCTTATAAGAAGTGGAATCTTGGACAGGTGACTAGGGAGGGGTATAAGAGTATTGCTTGGGCATGTAGGCATGAAGTCAGGAAGGCCAAAGTGCAACTGGAGTTGCAGTTAGCAAGGGATGTAAAGGGTAATAAGAAGGGTTTCTACAAGGATGTCAGGAACAAGAGGAATGTCAGGGAAAGTGTGGGTCCCTTACTGAATGGAGGAGGCAACCTAGTGACAGAAGATGCAGAAAAGGCTGAAGTGCTCAATGCCTTTTATACCTTCGTCTTCACGGGCAAGGTCAGCTCCCAGATTACTGCACAGTTCTGGGACGAGGTGAGCAGTTGGCGGTGAAAGAACATGTTAGGGACTATTTAGAAAGGAGCTGGATGGGATGCACCCAAGGGTGCCAAGGGAGCTGGCTCATGTGATTTCAGAGCCACTAGCCATCATCTCTGAGAACTCATGGCTATCAGGAGAGGTCCTGGATGATTGGAAAAAGGTAAAGATAGTGCCCATATTTAAGAAAGGGAAAAAGGAGGATCCAAGGAATGACAGACCAGTCATCCTCACCTCCCCTCAGTCCCTGGAAAAAAAATCATGGAGCAGATCCTCAAGGAGTTAATTTCAAAGCACTTGGAGGAGAAGGTGATTAGAAATCATCAGCATGGATTCACCAAGTGCAATTCATACCTTACCAACCTGATTGCATTCTGTGATGAAATGACTGGCTCTGTGGATGCTGGGAGACCAGTGGATGTGGTATACTTTGATATTAGCAAGGCTTTTGATACAGTCTCTTACAACCTTCTCACAAGCAAGCTAAGGAAGTACAGGCTGGATGAAAGGACTTTAAAGGTGGATAGAAAACTGGCTGGAGCATCAGGCTCAGTGGGTGGTAATCAATGTGTAGTTGGCAGTCAGTATCAAGTAGAGTGTCCTAGGGGTTGATCTTGGGGCTGGTTTTGTTCAACGACCTGGAAAATGGCATAGAGTGCTCCCTCAGCAAGTTTGCAGATGACACCAAGCTGGGGAGAGTAGTAGATATGCAGGGGGTAGGGCTAAGATTCAGAGTGACCTAGACAAATTGGAGGATTGGGCCAAAAGAAATCTCATGAGGTTCAACAAGGACAAATGCAAAGTCCTGCCCTTAGGATAGAACAATCCTATGCACCAGTACAGTCTGGGGGCCGATTGGCTGGGCAGCAGCTCTGCAGGAAAGGACTGGAGGGGTGGGGGTGCAGTGGACAATAAGATAAATATAAACCAACAATGTGCCCTTATTGCAAAGAAGGCTAATGGCATATTGGGCTGCATTGGTAGGTGTGTTGCCAACAAGTCAAGGGAAGCAATTATTCCTCTCTATTCATCACTGATAAGGCCACATCTGGAGTATTATAGTTTTGGGTCCCCCAATACAGAAAGGATGTGAACAAATTGGAGAGAGTCCAGCAGAGGGCAATGAAAATGGTGAGGGGGCTGGGGTACATGATTTATGAGGACAGACAGAGGGAGCTGGGCTTATTTGGTCCAGAGAAGAGAAGCCAGAGGGGATTTAATAGCAGCCTTCAACTACCTGTAGGGGGTTCAAAAGAGGATGGAGTTAGATTGTTCTCAATGGTGGCAGATGACAGAATAAGGAGCAACGGTCTCAAGCTGCAGCAAGGAAAGTTTAGGTTAGATATTAGGAAGAATTTTCTCACTAGGAAGGTAATAAAGCACTGGAACAGGTTACCCAGAGAGGTTGTAGAATCTCCATCCTTTGAGGTTTTAAGACCCGGCTAGAAAAAGCCTTGGCTGGGATGATCTAGCTGGGGATGATCCTGCTTTTTAAGCAGGGGCTTAGATTAGTTGGCCTCCTGAGGTCCTTTCCAACCTTAATTTTTTATGGTTCGATGATCCCAATAGGCACAGTCAAAAAAAAAAACCCAACTATGTGCTCTTTAATGGAACCTACACTGTGCCTATTCAGCTCTTGGCTCCTTTGCTGATGCTTTCTGTAAGGCTAGGAACAAATGCAAGTTGCAGTGGTTTATAGATATGAACATTTGTTCACTAGAAGCACACAAACTTCCTAATGCCACTACATATTCAAGTATCATCGGCATTTGATGACACTTAGGTTAGATTCAAACCAACACCAATCAGGTGAAATTCAGAAGAGGTGGGGTGGAAAAATCAGGCACATAAATAATTACTGGCAGCTACCACTGATGATTCTAAGCCAACTAATAATACAGATCTGCAATTGCTGAATGACTCAAATCAGCATAATTTTTTCTAGCAGAGAGAAGGCTGAATTATTGTGTATTCATTCTACAGGCAATGGACAATAGAAGTCATAAATACATTTGCATACCAAAGCTTCTTGCAGTTAACATTCAGTCTGTAGGTAAAGAGAACTTGAATGACAAGAAACACTGAAGGAGAATCCAGGCCCTGCAGAAGTCATTGGAGTTTTGTTGTTTACCTCAGTATGATCCAAAGAAGAACTTCACACCTAATGTAGGTTAGTCATACAAAGCTGTATCCATAGATGTTATAACAATACAGTCCCTATTCTATACTGTAAGTAACAGGCTCTAGGTTTGAAAACTACTATTAAAGGAAGACCCTAGTTTTGAGACCTCAAATCTTGCAGGACCAGCTCTCTCAAATCTGAAGAGAGCAGCATACCCAGGCATCATGATCTAGTTTTACTCCTGTAAAGTCTCAGAAGATACACCCAACACTTTAAGGATTTTTAAATAACCAGATTTGCTGACATCCCCAGCACAATAAGTCAGAATGGTCTGAATACTGGTTGTCAAGTGTTTTGATAACAGTTGCACACATTGCTAGAAATATTAAATAGCGAGTCTATTGACAGTTTCATAAGCAGATCTTTCATAGCTAATGCATATTTTACTCCTCTGCCAAGCCTCCTAATCTAGGACTATATGTTAAGAACTCTGTACACTGTTTCACTTTGCCTTATTACAGTGAGTTGTTGCATTGGCAATAAAAAAAACAAAAAAACAAACACCTTACACGTACACACACATAAGCACAGTTCTTTTTTAGTTTTATTAAATGTATTTTGAATAAAAAGAGAAACAGCGCACTGGATTGTGAGGACCTTCATTTTTCCCCAACAATCAGATCAGAAATGAGGCTGTTGTATTTCAGGAGATCTAAACTTCCTTTCTTTTATAATGTTCATTTCCTCTTTGGTTGAAAAAGGATTGAGGTGCTATTGTTTTGACTGAATTAGATATAAGAATAGTTGACCAGTCTTTTACCGAAAGTGAGCTCACACCTCAAGCTCTTTTTTTTTTTTTTTAAACCAGAGGGAAAAAATAGGTTTATTTTTCAGCCACTTCTAACTTTAACATTGATCTTGACCAAGATCATTATATGTTGATTAATGAATCACAGGTTCAAATTACACCAACAATAGTGTAAGAGCTTCTTTATTTAAAATAATTAAATAAATAATTAAAGGTCTGAACATTAGAAAATCCACAAAGGGAAAAAAATAGAGATTAGAGGGGAAAAAAAAAAAAAAAAAAAAAAAAAAAAACCACTCAGGAAAAATATAACCGCAGCCAAAATAGGAAAAGGAAGTCAGCGTGAGTGCTGTTACCAATTATTTTTTAATTAGAAATAGCTTTCTTAATACAAATTTAAGACATCCATTTACTCCCCTTGGCTATTCAGCAGCAGGTTTACCTTTACTATGTGTATAAGAGGTCTGTAATTTCATACAGCTAGCTTTCCACAGTCTATGGAATAGTCAGTAGGATTTTATTTCAACTCAAATACCAGAGAAGATGTCAAAAGTAAATTCTAGAGATTGAGTTCTTCAATCAGCTACTCCTTTAGAATGCAACTACCTTTGCAGCAACCTGCTGAAGGCAATCAGGATGCAACAATAGCATGGAGACAAAATACTGCCTTGTAGAATGCATTAGAGATGCATATATCTGAGGGACAGGCGGAGACCATGTTCAAATCCCCCAGTTTGCATTTTGCAAGGTGAGAAGTTAAACCTATTTCTGTTTAAAGACTGGGATGATCCAATCAGGAATCCCAGAAACCCACAGGCAGACATGAATCAACACAATACCACTTCTAAAGCATTCCTTTGCTGAATGCAGCCACACTGAATTACAACTGCACTTGTTCATTTTTATCTGCAGTCCCTGTTTGTAAGAACAGCCTGAAAGTTGTTTCTAACATCTGTTCTAGTTACACAGGTGGCAGGCCATAAATAATCTACCCATTCAAGCTTTGCTACTCATGTGCTGGCTTTGCACAAAGTAAATTTTGATTTTATTTTTAGAGACTGTTTATCTGTGACCTCATTTTACTGGATTATTCAAGACATGGAAATTGAAAGGGACATTGTAGAGAGATGGACTTACCTCCCTTGATTTCTAGTTATGCATCAGCTTTGATTTCCTCACTGCTATCTTGCCAGCTCTCCCTAGTTGAACTCTTCAGTCTCTTACTCATGGAAAGTCCCATCAGGTCATGTCTGAATGAATTTATTCCCAAGGAAGGTCAGGGCAGGTTCCAAGTCAATCAGCAGGCTAACAAAGTAGTATAGTACAATGACTACTGTATGCTAGGATCTTCCACCCAAATCCAACCTCATTAATCCTTCCACCACTCATGGTGGATGATTTCACATCCCCTTTCCCCATGAGGTCTGGGAGAATCCAAGCTTGAAAGCCAATACAAGGAGCCTTGTAGTGAAGTTACAGTCTGCTTATTCAGATCCCCTGATGCACTTTGCTAGACCACTTATCTTAGCTACAAGTCTCCCAGGCCCTGTCCAGATTCTCTACTTAGACCACCTCCTACACTTATTACAGATCTCTAACACCTTCTTCTAGTCATATCATTTTATGACAGAACAGCCTTCATACATGTTACTATCTAAGACCAGAATTTCTCCAGAAGGCTTTCTTTTATTTGCCTTAAGAACCATCACCTGGTCAGGCAGCACAGCAGGACTAAACACAGCTTTCGTGAAGTCAGCCCACCCCCTAACAGACATAAATAATCACAAGAGGTCGTTTAAATATTTGAACAAATATTTACAGGTGTGTTTTTTTTCAGTACTTGCAGCTCTGACTATGACATTTATAAACTATATCACCTTTGTCAAGCAATTAGGGTGAAAGGTTAATCATGAAACAAAGCCCTTCAATGGGCAATCAAGCTGCTAAACCATAAAGCTGAAGGGGAATTTGATAACATAAACATAGGCTTAGACTGCCACATCTGGCTCCAAAGCCAGTATTCGGAAAGGGTGTGATCTTACCCATTTCTAAGGTGAGATCTGTGCACCTGGTCACTCTGATCCTTATGATGGTCATGCGCTCCAAACAGTCAAGGATGTGCCAAAAAAAAAGTGGTGGGGTGTGTTTAGTAGCAAATCTTTTCTCCCCCTACACTGCCCCCATGTTGAATACAGCTAAACAAGGAGATGGTGATCCGGGCTCCCAGTGCATTATATTAACTGACAATTTTATTTAAAATTAAGAACCCCCCCCCCCCAGGGGTGTAGGAAGGAAGAGGTAGGAGGAAGAACAATAATCTAAGGATCCCACTCCTATTCCAGAGCAATGCCTATTTCCCACTGGCTTATTCTCTTTCTGGCGCCACATATCTTTCCCTCTTCTCCTTCCAGTAAGCCAGCTTCAGCAGATGGGAGAGAGTGTGCTCTTATCCTTACCCAGCCTATGCCTGCTATTAGGGCATTTTGCTAGGAAAATAGATTCAACCCCCATCTGGCTGACAGCACCCTGGAACTTGGAACTGGGATATCTACCTCTTCCTTGAAACTGAATCATATTTTACAGTGTTCTCTCTAACTCACTTTCATATAGGGTCAAATATCAACTTCCAAATCTATGAGCCACTGTCAGGTATTTTCACTCAATGTGCAGATTACATCTCCCCATCTGGGCAGTTGTAAAGATTGCAGCTTTCAATTAAATGCTGTTCTGTTTGTGAATGTGGTGCCTAACACAGGAGGCTGTCCAAGAGGTTCATCTTACAAAGTGTTGTTTTGAAGCACCCATATTCAGATCTCAGTCTCTTCATCTTGACCCACATCAAGGTTGTATTCGCTGGGCGACTCATTTGGTGTTGATATAAAACACAGCAGGAACAGGTCTGACCTGTCCCAGTTGTCAGCCCACTCTGTTACTACCCATAGGTTTGGTTCAGTATCACCAATCTCTTCCAGGAGTTTGTGGGCTTCATGTGCAAACAGTTTACAATTTTTGAGCCCCTTAAGGCCCCATCTGTTCAGTTCTTCAGTTAACAGTTGATGGAGAAGATGATTTTTGCCATCTCTTTTTGTCATGTTAGGGTTTGTCTTCTTATATCAATTGGTCTAATACCCAAGAGTACAGGGAGTATATCTTTGTGTGTGTAAGTTGTGCAGCCTGTTGTAAGTCTTACCACTCTGTTGAGCTTTTTAGTGTGACAGCTTTGGACCATACAGGAGCACAATATTCTGCTGGGGCATATACCATGTGCGGTGGTTCTGAGCACTTTGGAGTTGGCACCCTGTGTCATGCTGGTTAAGCATCTTAAGGCAGCTACCCATTCAGAGACTTTACTGCTAACCTTCTGAATGTGATGTTTGTAGGTGAGGGAACAGTTTAATGCAACTCCTAGGTAGGTTGAGCTATGCTCATAAGGAAGGATGTCATTCCTTGCTCTGATATTCAGCATGCTTTTGGCTCAACAATTGTCCAGGTGGAAAGTGATGATACTAATTTATTTATGCTCAACTTTAAGTGCCACTTGTGCAGATAGTCAGCAATGAATTCCATGTCAGTACTCAGTGTCTTTTCCAGTTCTGTCATATCGATTCCTTAGCCTACGATGGCAACATTGTCAGCATACAGGTATCACTTAAATGTTATATGCGGGCAGTCTGAGGTATATACATTGAAAAATAATAGTGCTAGCACTTAAGTTAAGGGGACTCCATTCTTCAGAGTTTGTACTCTGCTTTTTTCTCCTTGTCTGGTAGTGAGTTTGAATGATCTGCTGGAGATCATATTCATGATGAAAGTGCATAGCTTGGGGTCTGGTATCATAGAGTGCAGTTTACATTCAATTTTTCCAATTTAGATACTACAGCATTCTGATCAGAAATGAAATATACCTAGCATTTACTCTATAGCACATCAAAAATATCTTAATATATACTCTTAAAACTATTAGTATATCCAACTTGGTATGTAGTCAGTACATCAGGCTGTTTATCATTAAGAATGCCTGTTGACATCCTGAGGTTGGAGTTCTCTATTTCAGAGTTTTAATATAAGAGCAAGACATTAGAGTGCAGGTGATTTATTTTCCAATAAAATATGACGGGGTAAGAAACTTGAAAACTTTATATAAAGTCTGTTATTAAACTTGTTATAAAATGCCTTGAAATAGGTCAAAAATATAAACAATAATAAAAGCATCAAACAAAAGCTTTCTAGGGATCTGTGGACAATTTAAGAAGTGTAAGCTATATTGTAGTTAGGCTTGCCAGAAAGTGTTAGAGCAGCATCTCAAAAAACTTCATGTCAGTTCAATTGTATGCTGAAATAAAGAGTATATTACATTAAGCTTACATTCTGTCTGTGTTAGAGTAGCACCTACTGGCCAACACCCACTCTGCTAGGTACTATACAAACATAACAGATAGACAAATACATTAAAAGAACTGGCCCCTTTTCCTAGAAAGCTTGTAAACCTAGGACACGTACAGACCTTTAGTTTCTACTGGGCGAGTTGCTGTTCTCCCCGTAGAAACCAAAAGTGTACAAGCATTCAAGATTTTTCTCCCAGAGCAAAACGGCCCACTCCAGGAGTAAAATAACTCAGGAGCAATCAAGGTTAAATGGCTCCCAGAAGAGTTTCTCTTGGGACAGTGAACTTCTGTACATGTACCTTTTGAGGGAAGTTGCAGCATAGCTCTCTAGCATCCCAGTGTGCTTTGCTCCCATCTCTCTCCCCTCTCCAGTGAGATAATGTTCACTTGGGTTGGACTCTCTTGATCCAACCAAGCAGGGAGCCCCTTCATAATCCTCACATTGTGCTGCAGGGAGACACAGGCTGCAAAGCAGTCTGGTCAGCATTCAGGGATGCCCTGTGCACTGCTGTCATCAGGCAGAATGGGCAGCCTGCAGAGTACAGTGAGCCATGTGTATAGCCCCTACCTCCCCCGGGTTGTGCAGCAGCTCAGCATTCAAACATCTGTTCAGATAAGTTTTTCTAGGAAAATAAACTTGGGAGAATTCTTCTGGAGCATTTGACCATGTATATATAACCTTATTAGGCCACATGCATATATTCAGTTTCTCCTGGGAGAGTTGCTACTGTCCCAGTAGAAACCACAAGTGTACAGGCATTCAGGATTTTTCCCTTAGAGCAGAAAAATAGCCACTCCAAGAAAAAAAAACAACCCAGGAACAACCACAGTTAAGTAGCTCTTAGGACAGTTTCTCCTGGGAGAGCAAACCTTTGTATAAGTACCTTCTGAAGGAAGCTGCAGCCCTGTCCTGCAGCATCCCAGCATGGTTTGTTCCCAGCCCTCACATAGATCCAGTGTGCCAATCAGAGCTGTCCTATATAGTACCATCATCTCTTATTAAGCAGACTGGCCGCCTGCAGAGCAAGTGGAGCTGTGTGCATGGGGTCTCCCTGACTATGCAGAATCTTAGCATCTGAACACCTGTTCAGGCGTCTTCAGGTAAGTTTTTCTTCCAGGAAAACAAACCCAAGAGAATTCTCCCTGATCATCTGACCATGTGTACAGAGCCTAAGCTTAAAGTGCCTCACTTCATCTTCTACTCTAGAGAAAGGGTAGTTGGGAATATAGGGAAACATCTTAGTCTCTTTCAAAAGCCAACTTATAAAGCCCCAAAGCATATAAAATAGTTTACACTACCTTTTGGCTATGCTGTCATCTACAGAATCAATAATATTTACTTCTTTTCTACCATTTAATTTAAAGCTTCTATAACATTCATAGACACCCATTCTTATTGTACCCTGGACAAAAATCATGATACATTTTTACTAGCTGCACAGGAGTTGACATTTTATACTGATGCTGTCACACAATTACTGCAGAATCTAATATATGTACAATACAAGCCATTTCTGATTAAAGAAAAAAAATCTTCCACAAAACTTCTACTGCACAAATGAATGTTTTAACTCTTCTCTTTTCACCCTGCATCTACTATATTTATACATTTTGTTTTGTTCTTTTTTTTGAATGAGTTCACACTAAATAACAATAGCAGTTACAATTATTTGGAAAAAAAATCACTAGTATAGCTGCTAGCACAGTTCAAGAAAGAGGGCATATTTTTCTCAAAACCAAAAGAATATTTTAAGGCTCTTTCTCTGGTAGTATTGCTTCTTGAGGTTGGCCGATGCTTCCCATTATAAGACCCTGTTTCCAATTATTTATAGTTTGGCAAAAGTTATAAGCTGAAACTTTCCATGCCAGACAACCACCTTAAACTGAATAACTCAGCTCTATCCAGGAACCGGGCTTGGTTATATTGTTTTGCTCAGGTTAAAAAAATTTTAAAAATTAAAAAAAAAAAAAATCACACACATGCACACACTGAACAGATCTGACGCCTCCATGCTTTGAAACAGGAACTGCTTGATTATGCTGGTACATGGCATATAAGTTTGCAGTCTAGACATGTATGTATGATCCTGTCTACTCTGAAAAATCACAGATCCTTGGTGTCTCAAATTGAGCAACAGAAATTAAAAAAGCAATTTTGACCTTCCTTTTCCACGGTACTGTTGCTCAGCTACCAATGCAGATAAATACCATCTACTTATCTTGATGTGGAAGATAAATTAATATTAATTAATGTTTGGGAAGCACTTAGGCACCAAAGAAAAGTGCAAAGGGAAATTAATAATTCTGTCTACAGAGCATGGCTTGAATAACAAGTTATGTATAAAGCCTAGTGCCATATGTTAACAATGAGGAAAGA